ACACATGCGCCGCTATTGTTCTAAGTTCATGAAACCTTCTGTTTGGTGGCGTTCACGTTGCCATTGTTATCCTGGTTTGCTTAAGTTCTCTAACACAAAATTGTGGCTTTACGACACAGAGAAATGTAGCAAGTCTTTCTTGATTTGGCCTGTTTTTGAGAGCAATTTTAACATTCAAAATCATGTCCTGCTTTGTTTTAAAAATTATTTCCAGCACTGCGTCAGTACAAATTTCAATGGGTATGCCCAGGAGGTGGGAGGAGATAGATGAGGTACAACCATGCATTATTATCTAACTGAGATTAAAACATTCAGTATTCTATGAACATCCAGCACAAAATCACACTCCTTACCTCGCAATGCACTTTCTATGGTGGACTTGTGGGCCACGCTACAAGGATCTTTGTCTTTGTGACACAAAACAACATGCTTCAATAGACTTCTATAACATCGCCCTGAGGTAGAGCTGAACACTTCTGTACAATAAGGGCATTTCTTACCATGCATCTTATGAATGTGCAGACTGCGATCACTTTCTGAATTGAATCTAACAGAGCACATAGGGCATTTGTAACCAATGTCATTGACCGGCAACTGACCACATGCTTCACTGTTCACAAGCTTAGGACCATGGCTGGAAAGGACACCAAAGCTTGAGGTGTTAGGAGGATGAAGGCTTGTTGCGTTCATATTATTTTTTCCCACATACATGTACATGTAAGCCGCTGGTTGGAAAGACTTTCCTTGAACGATATATTTTACATCTGGCATCGTTTTCATTAAATTGGCAAGCGTCAAGACAATCTTTTCACTGGAACCATCAGAATAAATCACTGGCTGTATATGAGCTGGAACAGATGCACCTGTATAATGGGTCAACGACTGGTTTCCATTATTTTGATGAGAAGAGGAGACAGTGACAGTGCTTGGCACTTTTGTAACCAGGTAATCTGTAGAATCTAAATCTTTGTTGTAGAAACATTGAGCACCAGAGAAAGGAAGTTCAGAAGACCTTTCAAGGACTGTGCCACCTACAAGTACATCTTTGCTTTTGTTGTATGTGCCTTGAGGGAGCTTAATATTTTTACTCACTGGAGTTGAGAGTTCTGTTTCATTTTTAGTCACATTACATGTGTATAACACCAGTGGGCATCCACTACTTTTATTAGAAAGATTTTTGCCATTGTTTAAAACTAAACCAAGGCCCTTGTTAGGGACAACGCAAACAGGACCACTCTGTTGTACAGGTACAAGTGAATTGCTGGAGTAAAAACCATTAACAGTGTTAGGCGTGTTCTTGTTCCCAGGAGATGAAGTTTGCTCAGTGGAATAAACATATGTGTAGCAGCTGGAGGCTGTCTCTCCGATTTGTGTAAAAGAACTTGGCAAGTCAGTCAAATAATCTGTAAAATTAAAGATCATGATGATCATGTGAGTAATAAGTACGACAGAAAATGTTTGTAATGCTAGGCATGTTTCATATCCAGATCCTCCCCTTTACATAACAGAAAGTAAGTATGACTAGACAAAACAACTTAGCACTCTTGGATCAGGAGTCAAATACCTAATTAATGTTCAGTGCTTAACAGGCCTTATGTATGAGTGCCTCAAAGTCTTGTATACTGCACACATAATGCTCCTTGAACACCTAATCTCTTCACCCTGTTTTACAAACATTTTTTTTTTCATTTTGCTCCTATGGAAATTTGTTTTTCGCTAACCACACTTCTGGTTGAGGGCTAACAGGCGCAGCCTAGAGGCTAAATTATCGACTAAATTACCCAATATCGAGAGATTTGCCAACTTCATCTTATAAAACAGTTATAAAAATGTTGTAATGATAAATCTTACTACCTAACCATACCTTGCGAAGCCATTATTTCAAACGCAAATGGTGGGCCTTCTCCAAGATTTTTATCCACCTCGAGATCCCTCATGAGTGCCCTCCTGGTCCCCTCGTGGCTCTTTTTCCTCAGAGACTTAGCTCGTTCTGACCAGCGGTGAACGATAACTAGGTGGTATAATAATCATATAATGACTCATATAATGGCTCGGTAGGCGCTCGTTTTACTATGGAAGATCGATCGCAGAAACATTAGAAATAAGTTTATATACACCTCGGTTTTTATCCGAAGTGATGAACATATTCTTCTTGGATTGGAAAAGAGAGGATTTAGTGTTGGGTGTGGAATGGCTTTGGCGGGAAAGTGAACTCCGACATATGAAACCATTTTGGAATCTGCTAAGAGGTCAACATTAATTAAGCTTGAGCTTATTAAGCTTAAGTTTAGATAGCGTATTTTTGAATTATAAAACAGAACTGGTGTCATAAAAATGTTCAAAATTCAAGTGAGACACGATCCGCTGGCGAGGGTTCATCGCAAAGTTTCTGGCATTTTTTGGTCTTAAGTACTTTACACTTCGACGGATCAATACTTCCACTCTTTTCAGGTGATGTTACAATAAGTGATCAAGCTGCAGTCATCTTCATGGCATAATAGTTTACCATAGCAACAGAAAACCATAGGCCTTTTGCAACAGTTGTCACGTGACCGATAATTTCTAAACTGTTATGCACATATCAATGTTAAGCCGCTGGGGGAGTGGGAAGCCGGACAAAGGCGGGGGATTTGAACTCCGATCATCTTTTCAGTTCAAATGCCCGACCCCAGGGAAATTAACTTTGGTCAAAAGAGTGCAAATTCCCCATCCCAGGGATATTAGTGTTGTTCAAAAGAATGCAAATTCTCCATCTCTATCTAGA